GATATTGTCGAATATGTAACATGAAAGAACAAGAAAAATAATATTGAACGCATAAATTGTAGATAAACTTCCTTCCCTGATCAATAAACTTCATGAAAGGATTTATGTAACCTTTTTAATGAGAACATCGAACATGACCACTTTCCCCTCAATCCACAATCTATAGAAGAAATATTAAAAAGATGATGAGCACACAAAAATTTTAAATTTCATGGAAGGCCTGACAGATTGGATAGCAAATTAGAAGTACAAATTGCTCAAGCATTACTTGAATAGGGTCCTCTGATGGATGAAGGAGGGCCATAGGTTTAACTAACAAAGCTAGCTACATTCCAAAGGTTGTCAAAAGGTCGACCGTGCAAGGGATCTATCAAACAAAAATAAAAGTGAACAAGAGCATGAAACATCACGATGAGTACTTATGAGGAAATTGCAGCACAAGCCTCATTAAAATATGTGCAATTACAGAAAAAGTAAACTATGATAAAATTGTATAGTTTGTTATGACCTGATTGAGGGTACATCTCACATATCGTGGACTACAATTCCCAATGTCTTTGACTATATAATCGCTTGTAGCAAGCTTCAAAAGATTACAAGACATTAGGATAGATAACAAAATTCAAATTGCAACTATATAGCAAAGATGTGATAGCAGTATGAATGCCTTCAATGGCAACCTAGAAGAAGAATGATGAACCTAAGCTTAAATAAAGGTCAAAAGGAATAGCCAAATGAGCATACCAAGGTATGGGAACACAAAAATTTTGAATTTATTGTAAAGCGATATAGCAGATTGCAAGAAACAAGTTGGATGGTTTTGGAAGACAAAAATGGCAGAGTGCGAAGTAGAAGAGAGACATGCATGTTGGTGACCGAAAACCGATGGAGGCAGCGTGATGTTGTGGTTGTGGTGATGGCTGCACGGTGGTGGCTTCACTGTGATGACTGGGCGTTAGAGGAAAATTATAAAAAAAATGGGAATGAAACAATTAGGGATTTAGAACCTGATGGGTTAAAAGGATTGTACAATTGCGGCATTTATTACAAAACGCCACTAAAGTGCATGATTATTGCGACGTTTATGAAAAAGGCCGATAAAGTGCATGATTATTGCGGCGTTTATCAAAAACGTCGATAAGGCGCATGATTATTGCGACGTTTACTATAAAAACACCGTTAAAGTGCATGACTATTGCGATGTTTATAAAAAACACCGCTAAAGGCATGACTATTGCGACACTTATTACAAAAACGCCACTAAAGTGCATGACTATTGCGGCGTTTATAAAAAACGTCACTAAAGTGCATGACTATTGCAGCGTTTATTACAAAAAAGCCAATAAAGTGCATGGTTATTGCGGCGTTTATAAAAAACGCCACTAAAGTACATGACTATTGCAGTGTTTATTAAACGTTGCCTTATAAGAGTCAATCGCGGCGTTTTTAGTAAAAATGCCGCTAATATCTTTGTTTTGTGGCGTTTTACCCATAAACACCATCTTTGTTCAAATTTTATGGCACTTTATTTAAAAACATCGCGAACAGTTTTACTGTAGTGAATTGACGAATGAACATTTAAAATAAATAACCATTCATAGAAAGATCAAACGTTTAACAAAAGCATAAATTCCAAAACCCTCGCCAAAGTAATTAGTTCATGGCGGGGTGATAATCGTTTTCAATTTTCATCCAACACGTCTAGATAAATCAAAAGAAAGAGAAAGAACAAGAAAATAAAGATAATGGTCTTCGAGTTCTCCAACAGCCATAAAAAAGAAAAGTAAGAAGAGTCCAAAGCGGATTAGGGTTTGTGAAATGCCTTAGGTCTTTTTATAGTTGAGCGTGCACCTTCTCTTTTGGAAAGGATAATGATTCCCAATTTAAAAAACTTCATTATCTCTATCTATGTCCATCATTCTCTTTTCAAACTCCTAGAGTTACTTGGTCAACTTGTGCGGCTGGACTAGGTTCATATCCCTGGCAGCGGTCTGCTTCTTTTGACATGGCAAGTTCTCTTCCTTTGATTGCCAACATCATCTTGAACTGCAACTTACCCGCGGTAACTCGTTTGCCTCAAAATGCCCACGGAAATCCCTTGCTTGCTCTTTTATCATCACCTGCACAACATAACTCACCACGGCAGTGACTATACCACAAAATAGTGGGGAAAAATACAACTAATTAAAACTAAAAATGCATGTGTGAGTCATAAAAACAATAAATATGAAAACGAAAAAGAGGCTCAAGTCCAAGCTAAAATTAGCCTAATTGAGCATAAATACTATCCTTTTACAGAGTTATCTCACTCCCAACTTGATTTATTAATTGTCCTTAATAAATGCATGACAACACTTGCCCACATCAATTAGACAAAAGACAACTATACTTGTTGCATGTGTCACCTCATAACCTTGGCAAATTTTTGTCATTCACCTTCGAACCTCAGGACAATAAGAGAAAAGAGTTTATTAGCACACATATCTAAGCTTAAAGATCAAGAGAAAAGTGTTTTCATTATTTATTTATTTATTCATTTTCTCTTTTATATAGTGTGTTGAGCTTTATTAAAAATCTTTGTACTTATTCTCGTGACTTTAATTATTGCAAACACCTACCTATCTTTGTATTGATTCATTGACTGATTCATCCAAATCAGTGATAATGTCCGATCACTGTATTATCGAATGGTTCATCTTTATAGGATGATAATGTCTAAAACTGTTACGTGATGTACAGATAATTAGGTTGCATTTCATCCACGTATGATGTTATTTGTAAATTACATGTATACATTTCTGATTATCATGTATTGATTTAACGTTATGCTTGGTTCTTTTTTGTTTTATATGCACTTAGAGGACACACCAAGTTTTATAGCTTACCCTTTAGTTTTATTTATTTCAGATTCTCTTGACTGTTAGGATCGTTCCGGTACTTGAAGAATTGACTAGCGACATATTACATTTTATGCATACGACTATTACTGGATTCTTATTATATTTTAAACTCTTTAAATATATTTTGGAATGTTATTTATTCAGACTTTTGGGACATTACTTTTTGGGACTCTGGATTATATGATTTGTCATGTTTTACTCTATAAATATATGGATCTTTTAAAATAAATTTTAAGAGTTTTTCATTCATTGCTTACTAATATTATAAATATATTTTTTACTCTGATTATAAATTGATACGATAAACATTAATTTTTTTTAGAAAAAAGTTACAATTTTATAAATTTTTATAAACGTGATATCTTAAATTTGATCGTAACGTCTTGATCGGGTATACGATGACACCACCAAACACTAATTCTTATTTTATAGAAGTAAAAATAAAAATTAAAAAAGGGAAGTGGGGATGCTTTTGAAAGTTTTTATTGTCTTTAGTTAGCAAAAAGGGTAGGCATTCACCAACCAAAATGGACCCCCTTTGTTTTTCCTTTAGGAAACCCTAATTCCGTTTTCTACAAGTGTCCAAACCTTTCCCTAATCCCTTTTTCTCATCAATTGGGACAAAAAAGAAAATCTTATGTTTCAGTTTAAATTTAATTTATAAATAAATTAATAAAAATATATTTACTTTAATTGAAAATTTGTTTCCCGGTCTTAATAAATTTGACACATTTTGATTTTTAGTAGTTAAACTTTTTAAAATTAACTTCTTATTATGTTAAATATACTATTGATAAAAATATAATTTTTTTTAAATCCATTGATGAAATGATTTTAAAATATATTGATTACAAAATCTAAGTAATTAAAAATATTTGAAATAATTATAATTCAAATTAAAAATTTGAATTGAAAAATATCAATTTGTGATATTTTTTGAGATAAAGGGAATTATATATTTTAAAGGTAAATGGAAAGGTTATGTAAGGCCTTAACTGCTGTTTCATTTTAATCATTAATATAGTGGGACATGATTATGGCTTCTCTTCTATAGCCATGATATTTCCTAATCAATTATTAATACTGTTAAACTTATTTTATTAAATTTTTTGATATAAATTTTGAAATAAAAAAAATAACTAGACAGACGTGTAACTAAAAGGGGTGAAGTACACAAATTGTCCCCCAACTATAGGATATTACTTTATTGAATCATTCAACTATTAAAAGTTACGAAATGATCCCTTGACTATAGGGCATTGCTTTGTTGGATCCCCTGCTATTAAAAGTTACAAAATGGTCACCTAACAATTCATAAGTTCCAAACTCATCTTTTTTTGTTAAAAAAAGCTTAAGGCAATTTGAGCTGAACATTAACTTGCTGACATTGATATAATAAAATATGATCTCAAAATCATAAACGACTATCATATCTCAGCCAACAGGTTAACGTCCAACTCAGAATGTCATCAATTTTTAACGAAAAAGGACGAGTTTGGAACATATGAATAGTCGGATGATCATTTTATAACTTTTAATAGTCGAGAGACTCAACAAAGCAACATCCTATAGTCGAGGGATTATTTTGTAGCTTTTAATAGTCTAGGGACTCAACAAAGCAATATCCTATAGTCAGAAATTATTTGTGTACTTTACCCAACTAAAAAATGTCTGGAATTGAATAAAAAAATTCTAACAATATTATCAATTCAACTCGAATTTTCAAATACAAAAAGTAGAGATACTAAGTTCTTAAAAATAAATATAGGGGGATTAGATTAAAAATGTACAAGGAGTACAAGGACTTAGAATATAGTTTAATCAATCCTAATATCATATTATTTACTTCCATAAAATCAAATATCCAATTAAAACCAAATTAATTTGAAAACTATACAAAATTATTTGACAGATATTATAGATGTGTACCAAGAAATTTTCCTTTTATATCAAATTTACCAAATAATAGGCTTTAAATCCAGCTCATACGTGAATTGTTTAAGGAAATAAAGAAAAAGTGTTCCATAAGGATATTTTGATGATTAAAACCAGAATTCAGATGCCACTGGATTTGGTTTAAATACATACAAATCTAACAATACATACAAACTTTGATTTGCTTCATAGATTATATCATATCAAGCAAAAAATGTTTGATTTCTTTCCTTTCATTTTATCATCTCTCTTGCTAGGACTAGGACTCCATTTTCTTGTAAAAGCACTTGGAAAACACGAGCCTGCAAGTTTACCCCATGGAAGTATGGGTTTGCCTTTGCTTGGGGAGACTCTTGGTTTCCTTAAGCCTCACAGATCAAACTCCATGGGAAGTTTTCTGCAAGAACATTGCTCCAGGTAAGAAGCTAAATACTATATAGCTCTACCATTGTTATTTGTAAGTTGTAACAATCTATATTTGCATTGATTTGCTGCTGTACAGATATGGGAGAGTGTTCAAATCTCATCTATTTGGCTCCCCAACCATTGTGTCGTGCGACCATGAGCTTAACATGCTTATTCTTCAAACTGAGGAGAAGCTATTTCAGGTCAGCTACCCCAAGGCCATGCATGGAATCCTTGGCAAATTCTCTATGATAATTGTTTCTGGGGATATTCATAAGAAGCTACGAAACATTGGCGCCAGCTTTATCACTGCCTCTAAATCGAACCCGGAGTTCCTTAATTGCATGGAGAATATGACAATCTCGATGATGAATTCATGGAGAAATCGTCAGCGAATTGGCTTCTGTAAAGAAGTTAAAAAGGTGGAGTAAATACAACTTCATATTTATATACGTTTCAGACTCATGCATATGTTAAAATATAATTTCTTTTTTACAAACAGTTCACACTCAATCTTATGGTGAAACATCTTTTAAGTATTGAACCAGAAGAGCCACTGGCCTTCAAGATCCTGGAAGATTTTCTAACCTACATGAAAGGGTTCGTGTCTTTGCCAGTTTACCTCCCTGGTACAGCTTATGCCAATGCAGTTAAGGTACTGACATAAACAAACTTGGCCTAAATTAGACCTTTTTTTTGTATATTTTCACGTGCCAAGTACAATATTATATAGATTTTGATACTATACAATATATATTGCAGGCTAGGGAAAGGCTTTCTGCAACTGTTGGAGGAATCATAAAAGAAAGGAAAACGGAGAAGCTGAGGCATGACAAAGGAGATTTCTTGGACGCAGTTTTAACGAAAGAGAGTCTAAGTGATGAAGAAACAGTAAGCGTCGTGTTGGACCTGTTGCTTGCGGGTTATGAAACAACAGCAACACTCACGTCCTTGATTGTCTACTTTCTTGCCCTTCATCCAAATGTTTTACAACATTTAAAGGTATTCCTACATGCATGCATATAAATAAACTTCTTTTTTTCCCCTTTATTGTACTTTTTCTAACATTGTTTATGCCAGCGAGAACATGATGCAATAAGGATAAACAAAAAGAATGGTGAACCCTTGAACTGGGGAGATTACCAGAAAATGGTGTTCACTTTCAATGTAAGAAAATATTTCATTTACAAGATATTTGCATATTATGAATATATATCAGTGAAAAAAGAAAACTTAAAATGGTAGTTTTGTGTTACATATATGTATAGGTTATTTACGAATCTATGAGGTGTGGAAATGTAGTCAAATTTCTCCACCGGGTTGCCCTTCAAGATGTCAAATTTAAAGGTTAATAATGACAACCCTTTGTTCATTTTCCTTCTTAATGTTCATGTTAGATTTCACTGGTTTTTTAGTCCGAGTTTTCTTCATTCGGGAGAAGGTTATATTTTATACATATATATATATATATATATATTAGATTTCACTGGTTTTTTAGTCCGAGTTTTCTTCATTCGGGAGAAGGTTATATTTTATATATATATATATATATATAATATTGTTGTAGGATATTTCATTCCTGCGGGATGGAAGATACTTCCAATGTTGACTGCAGTTCACTTTGATCCCTCTCTTCACGAAAATCCTACGGAGTTCAATCCTTGGAGATGGACTGTAAGTATATTATCATTAAACAATAGTTGACACAAAGAAAATCATCTCTAGATGCAGATAATATAATCTATAAAACAAGAATTTAAATTGCGGTTACGATCACGTTTTCAATTATGTTGTGTTTATTGCGATTACGAACAAATGTTATTGCGGTCATTACAGATATCGTGATCGTATAATAATGATTTTACATCCTTAATATGTAGCTTTGATGCTAGGTGGACAAGGAAAAGGCTAGCCATGTAATAGTCTTAAAGAAACAAAAATGTTTTCTTTTGTTTGGTATTGTTTTTTTGTTTGTATAATCCAATCGTCGGCCACTTTGGATGACACAGGACAAAGCAACGACCAAAAAGGTGATGCCATTTGGTGGTGGTCCTCGGTTATGTCCAGGGGCAGACCTTGCTAAAGTAGAAATTGCTTTCTTCCTTCATCATCTTGTCCTCAATTATAGGTAAAATTTCACCCTCAACATATTTAAATTCTTCCTCAAAGGTCATTGCTTCCCACTTAGGAACCAGCACAATTATGAGAAATGTTGGAATCCGTATCAATACATTTTCCATCGTTCACACATTTGATTTTGGCAAGTGAATCTCCTAGTAGAGATTTTCTACATACACAAGATCTCTAACTCAAGACCTACTCAGACGATATCAAACTACTTACCACGTGACCCAACCCCGTTATCCTATTAATACGTCTTTAGTTCATCTTATTATTTTCAAATTCGCTTGCTAGATAGCATAGACTTTTAAGCTACATCCTACTGCATTACTATATTCATTACTTTCTCTATGAATCGTAATTGATTCTGGGAGTTTTTCTTTCTTTCTTTGATGTTTCAAAAAGGTGGAAAACATTGGCAGATGACTTCCCTCTTGCCTACCCTTATGTGGAGTTCAAGAGAGGATTGCTTTTGGAGATTGAGCCAATACAAGACATGGAAACCTGACAAGTAGTATTTAAAGTATGCATAACGTAGTGTTTGAGCTATAAAACCACATATGATTTGTTAGATGTAAAGTTCAGAGTTATGGGAAAATGCCTTTGTCAAGTAGTTAATGTAGTTGGTTTGATATGCGTCGAAACGTCTTTAAAATTGGGAAATTGATTTTTTTAAACCCTGCTTAGATAAATATTAAACTGTGATTCGAAGAGTTGTCACCAATCTTTATTAAGTTACAATTAAATTATTCAAAAGTTTATCACTTTAATAAAATTAAAATAAGTAGTTAATGATCTACTTACATGAGAATTGATTCAAAACGTGGGAAGGATTAGCACCAAAAATACCATTTCTTAACGGTAGAATTTAACGTCCATTACAGTCGATGCACCTAAAGTGATATCATTTGTAACATTAAACGCTTGGATTGATTGAAAAAAAAAGTTTAGACACTACTTTAGGAGAAACAATATAGGTTGAACACTTTTTTTATATATTAAACCTTTTTATAAACTAAAGTTGTATTTATTATCTTGCTATTGAGATTAATACCGTATGATTTGAGTAAACGAAATAAAAAAATAATCATTATGATAATTTCGTATGACACTCAAATCCTCCAAATTTGAGTCGAGCCACATTCGAAATTTGAAAACAAAAATATAAAGATCGTTTGGTTCACATAATATAATATTACTATTAAGAATAAGATTACCAAAATATTGCATTCCTTAATGTATTACTGGAATGTAAGATTACAGTGTTTGGAAAAAGAATAGAAATAAATATAATTTTTCTCTCAAAGGAACCTAAATCACCAGTTGAATGAGAAAGAAAAATTAATTAAAATAGAAATTTAACATACGGTTTAAAGAACAAAGGAAATTATATATTTGCAATAAATCTTTTATTTCAAGAGTATTTTTGTCTAAACTTGTATACCTAATAAAGAAAGAGTAATACTATTCCCAAGAAAACACTCTAAAATTTACTATAGGTAATACTTTGTTATCTCTAGAAAAGAATATTCTTAAATCAAACATGAAAAATATTATTTAATTCTTCTGATAATAATTTTTTCTGGGAATCAAACACCCGACATAACGGTTAAAAGTTATGCCAAAGAAAATCCAAAGGCGCTTTGGATAATAACTTTTGACGTTGCACTCAATAAGTTCTTAAAATATACCCTGCACAAAATATATTGTTTCTAGTTTTCTTCTCTTTATAGATTTCCTTCAAACTGACCAAATCCCTATTTTTTTTTTTGCTTTGAATCGTATTCAAATTTCAATTTACTCCTTTATTTTTAGGTCAAATTATCAATCGATTTGAAAGAATTTTTTTAAAATGTTGAAATCGATTAAGCTTCGATCTTTGTAAAAGAAACGAGATGTTTGCGAAGAAAGGGGTTAATCCACCTTCTTTTAGGAAAACTGGTACCACAATTGTTGACTTAATCTTCCAGGTTTGGGTGGGGGGAATAATTCTGGGTTTTAATCATTTTGTTCGTTTTACCAAGAAAACTTGTAATGATACCTGATTTTAGTGTATAACTTAGAATCCAATTTGGTTTTTAATTTGTTTTGTCATCTTTAGCGATAGTCGTTTCTTTACCTGTATTTAGTGTATTATTTAGATACTGTATTTCGGTTTTTGGTAGGTTGACAATGGTCAGTTTCAACTCTTTGTTTGAGGTTTTTATTGTTGATTTTTAGATTAAAGAGTAGAAGAAAGGAAGAATTATACTGAATACACGTTATAGACATAAAGAAGTTCAAATTTTAGAATGCCCTTAGTCTGTACCCAGTTGCTGATTCTTACAAGTGTGTTATGCAAAGACCGAAGTTATAAACAGTAGATTATTATAGTAGTCTCTAAGAATATGCTGAAGTTGCTTTAGCTATTTTTCCTAATGATGAATCAAATAGAGTCGTGGGTTAATACATGCAGCGCAACTTGAAAAATAGCAAGAGATGGCATCATTGTGTTGTCAATTTCTCGATTGTCCTCCCTTTTATTTCATTTTCAATCATGTGGGATGTAGATGCGCATAGTTTGCATAGGATGGTCTAATTCTGGTAAGGTAATGCCATTATTCCCACTTGAAATTTTCCGTAGGATGGTGTTATTCTTGGGGCAGACACGAGAGCAACTGAAGGACCTATAGTTTGTGATACGAATTGTGAGAAAATTCATTACATGGCACCAAACATATACTGTTGCGGAGCTGGAACTGCTGCTGACACAGAGGCAGTGAACGGTACTTTCTGAAATTGTTTTTTCGTATGGTTCTGTGAACATCAGTAGTTTATTCAATTTTCATGTTTAAACAGCTCTGTTGTAAAATGTTATATTTACAGCCTCATATTACTGTAGCTAACCCATTGTCATGGTCTTATGCATATCCCCAGACATGGTCAGCTCACAATCCAGTTACATCGCTACCATACTGGTAGAGAGTCCAGAGTTGTTACAGAACTCACCCTTCTTAAGAAACACCTTTTCAAGTAAAGTTTACTGTTTTTGATATTCTTCGACCAACAGCATACCTGTACATAGTCTATGGGAAGCATGTGTTCTAACTGCTTCGCAATTTGTCCAGCTACCAAGGTCATGTTTCGGCTGCTTTAGTACTTGGTGGTGTTGCTGTCACTGGACCTCATTTACATACTGTAAGTTTTTCTTCAACTTATTGGCTCTTCAAAATGACATTAGCATTTGTTCTTCTCTATTGGTTTGGTTTCTTATCACTACAATGGTTAAATTTTGCAGATATACCCCCATGGATCAACCGACTCTTTGCCATTTGCTACAATGGGTTCTGGTTCTCTGGCTGCAATGGCAGTATTTGAATCAAAATACAAAGAAGGCCTGACTGTAAGTTCACCTGTTTCGTTCTTGTGGTATTTTGACAATTGAAGAGAGAACACTTCATGTTTTCCAAGTATATGTTTGTTTGGGGGTAAAATCTTTTGTAAGAGAAATTGTTCATGCATTCATGGTATAAAGTAAAATAATTCAGTGTAACTGCGTTATATTATGATCCATTGATTCCGGATCACCAAAGCTTCTCTTTGCAGAGAGACGAAGGAATACAACTTGTAGCTGAGGCTATATGCTCTGGTTTCTTCAATGACTTAGGAAGTGGAAGCAATGTTGATATTTGTGTAATAACCATGGTTTGTCGTTAACCACCAGCCATTTTTTGTTAGGAAAGCATATCCTATGTTCATTTTTGGTGTTTCTCATTTGATCGAATTACATCTCAGGGTGGAAAAGAATACTTGAGGAACCATCTTCAACCGAACCCTCGCACTTACACTAGTTCCAAGGGCTATTCTTTTCCCAAGAAGACAAGTCAATAACAATAAGCTTTACAATGTCGATCCTTTTTAACTATATATAATTTCCGTGTCTACTGAACTAGATTGTTTGATTTCCTGTTATTGTTTCCTTAATTTCTATGGTTACAAAAATTACACCTTTAAAGGAGAAAGTCGAGGGAGGAGATGTAATGGAAGAGTGACACACTTATCTACCATTATTGGATCAGCTTCCTTTTTAGCCTTAAGCTCTGTCTGTCAAGGTACTGTTTATCAGTATTCTTGAATTGATATGTTTTACGTAGGATTTTGTTGTTTAATGGATTCTTTTGAAGTGTTTAAACATTTTAGTTCTGATATACGATTCAAATGGAATTATCAAGTGGGCATTTCAAACCACCCCTAGTTCTTTCGTTATCTGTTTCAGTAGTTTTCGTCTTCCTTGTTCACTGCTTTATTGATGGACATGTTGGTATTGTTATCCTCCCATGGGTTTCCCTCTGATCTTTTAAAAATTAAAAATATATTATTTATATATTAAAATTTTGGTTAATTTGATTAATTAATTGATTTTGAATCAAACTAACTGATAATTGAATTAAAAAAAAAATCTTTAACGGTTCACCGATCTAACACTTTGATGACCGATTTATTAACCGAAATGAACACCCCAATCATTCATATCGGCACTTGATCTGCAATATTCTAAATATCAAGGATTGCCAATAGATTTAAAAGGAAGAAAACATTAGACATTTACCTGATGTCTAACATATGGATATCTGAATCATATGAATATTGATATGATTATTGATTTTAACATATGAATATCTGAATAATTTTAAATAAATTAATTATAATAGAGTTTCAATTATTCATTTCGCATTCTCTAATAATCTACTCTTACATAAAATTAGAATCCTTATCATAATGGGGATATTGAATGAATAAAGTTTTAATCTCAAATTATTCTTTATTTTATCCATAGAAATCTCTTTTTAGCTTCCAATTGTTTCCAACTCTCTTTTACTATAAATCTATACATAGGCATAGTGGATGAGTCTAGAGTGCATATCACACACTGAAATACACTATTAATGTAACACCTCGATGTGCTCTACTAACTAAATTGTTCTTATTAAATAAATATTCAAAAATATAATGACCTATCCACAATTAATCCTTTATTATTGTTTAGTTTAAAGTTTAAAAAGAATATAATTAATTTATATTTTTTTTATTAAAAATTATAATTATTTTAGGATTTTTATTTTTATTTTTTTAGGATTGGAACGCTTAATTTATATAAGTTTGCATATTCATCCCAATACAAATTTATATAAGTTTGCATATTCATCCCAATACAACCGTCAAACTAACCATCTACGATCTTATTCATGACCAAAAACTTGTGTTACTTACCTATGGTTATGTAATGCCATCCCCACTAGGCTCTTCTAAAGATCATGTAAATTTTTTCACAGTTGCATATTAGTTTATTTAGTTGCTTAAGGAATTATTGATAATTTTCGATTTATATTAAATTGGAGCTAGGGGTCTGCAAAGTCGGATATCCAATCCGATCCGAAATTTCATATCACAAAAATAATGATCCAAATCAGATCCGAAATAATCGGATATCCGAATATCCTATCTAAATATGTCACTTATTATGTTGTTATCCAACTTTGTATGGCTTCTGTTATCTTTGACGGTAACCAAGCTGTCGCGACCGACTTTCGGTTGGGCCCCGGAATTGGGCTTCGACTTGGATTAAATGGA